CAAAACCAAGCAAACTTTACAAACAAAACCGAAATTCACAATCGTTCTCACTTTCAAGAATAAATCAAAAGGATCTCATGTGGGCATGCTTAATTCTAGAAAATAAGGAAAATGATAAAAGTTTAATTTCCCTTTTCAATCATGCTCAAATGCAAATAAATCCATTTAAACCTCGCCACCATCTCAGAAAACAATTAAAATATGCTTCAAAAATTTACAGGCTTTACCATGATTTACTTACCTTAGTCACGCAGAACAGAAGGCCTAATCCAAGTGCTAAGACCACAGGGCAATCAAGGACCTATTCACAATATTCTCGAGTTAATATCTATAAGGAAATTTTATTCCTTTATTTATTTTCATTTTTTCTTTTCTATGCGAAAATCAAGCATTAACTGGGATTGGGTATTTATCTATATATCTACCATTATATAATTACCCATATACCATTTTTCTCAATTTCATGGACAAGCAATGGGAGAACCGGCCTTGACAAGAAACGGCCAATTCACGGGATTCTCCCCTTTCTTTCTCTTGGACATCACACAACAACCAAACCCACCAATTTCCTACATAATCATCAACCAATCCATTTTCAATTCGCCAAAACTCCTCCCTATTTCAACAGAATTTTCGGACAACTCAAGCCCATTTCACACAACCACTTAAACTCACAAACCAGCACTTAATCCACCAATTTTCAGGAGATTAAAGAAGCCACTTACCAGAAATGCTCAACAAGCAAAGCTGGAGCTGGCGGTATGGGGAAGAGCCGGCGGGAAAAATCGGGGAGGCTTCCACGGGACCACTAGGAATTGGAAGAACAAGAAGATTTGAGTGACCCAACTTAAATCAAGGCTGAAAAGAGGAGTTTCTGGACTGATTTTACCAGGAAAAACCAGTAGCAGCCGGCGGCAAAGGGGAAAGGAAGCAGAGCAGATCCGGCGGCTTCTCTGTAAAAGAGAGAAGTTCTAAGTCCTAGACTTATTCTTGAGCAAGAGGGGAACAAAAATCATCAAGTTCTCTTACCAAATTTGCAGATGGAGGCTTCGGTTATGGTTGGTGATGACCGGCTGCAGAGGAGAAGAAAAACAGAGCATACGCGAAAATGGCTGGGAAAAAGAAAGAAGGAAGAAAAAGAAAAAAAAGAATGAGTCAGCCGGCCTTATCCAATAAGAGTTTTAACCCCTTTAAGGTTTGAAAAACTGACAGTTAGGTCCATTAATAATGTTTCTTCACCATTAGGTCCCTAACTCAACTTAATATGCTTGAAATTTTTGGGGTATTACAGGAACAAGGGTGATGGTGGCCATCACAGATCTGCAAAAGGGAGAAGGGACAAAAATCAAGAGGCTTTCTATGTTTTTTTTTTTTTTCTTTTTGGTCTGCCGTTTCTTTCACACTTTAAAATAGGGGAAACTAGGGTTTCTTTTATTGTTAAATTTGGGTTTTGATGGGCTGGGCTATGAAAATTGTTGATGGGCTCAATATTGGGGTGGATTTATGGATTTGTTTTGGTAGATTTCATCCTCAACTTTTTAATTTTTTCAATTGAGTCCTTTTCTTGTTATTTTTCTTGAATTTCTTCACAAAAATTTTATATACCGATAAATTCGAAACGGTATATGAAAAATTCCGATATTCGGTACGTATCGTTCTAGTAGCAAAATCGGTACGTATGCCGGTACGGTATTGATAACTTTGCTATTTATTGAATTTAGTCATCTTCCTACTCACTTATATATAAATCCTAAGCCAATTTTCTTTGTACCAATATATTATATTTTCCTCTTCACCTTTTGTCACGCCCCAGAATCCAAATCCGAGGACGCGACAGACGCCGTGCACCCGTGAGACAGGTCCCACAAGTGCACAAGGTTCGGAACTTATTCAAATCACAATCTGATACCACAAAATCTCAAGATAAAATTTTTACAATCTGCTCTGATATCATAAAATCTCCAAATACACTCTAGCTTACAGGATCATGACTTATTTCTAAATCTATGTCAATCTCGAAATGGCTAGCCTTCTAACTCGTCACTCCCCTTGGTTTCCCGTCCTCAGTTTCGCTTCCTGAAATGGTGGACAAGGGAAAACTATGAGATAACTCAGTAAGTAAATATGGATAGCCCTTGGGTAAAACTTTTAGCATGCCAGATAAACAGTTTCATATAACAGAACGTTCAATGGTAAACCTTTAATGCA